TATATTTAGTTTTATCTTTAACCCCCCTTTCCCGCTCACGGCATATCTTCGGCGGAGAATCGTTTGCGTACTATCGTCAGGACTTTGTTCGCGTAAAATTGTCAGAGGGAGATCGTTCGCGATCCGAGCGAGACGAAAAGGCAATTTTCATATCTTCTTTGGGAGATCGTCCGCGATGTAAGCAAGAATGAAATGCAATTTTCATATTAGTTCAAGGGATTTAGGGAACTTCATTCGCGGAAGATCGTCAGCGGGAGATCGTTCGCGATCCTTGCTAGACGAAAAGGCAATTTTCACATCTTCATCGGGAGATTGTTCGCGATGTAAGCAATAATAATATGCAGTTTTCATATTAGTTCAAGGAACTTAAATTGCGGAAGATCGTCAACGGGAGATCATTATTTAACTCCCTGTAAATTTTTAGGAAGTTACAGATGGTATTTTTAAAAGGCCTGACACTCAATCCTGGGAAAAGCCTTGCATGCAACAAACGTTCCCATGTGCGTAATTTTTTTAACATGTCGCGTCCACGTTATGATGCAAGGTTGCAGTTAGGCTTATCTTGATCCTTCTCCTCTATCAGGAGGTATGTTTCTTACCGAGAAAATAATTCTCAACATGTTTTCGGGTACAGTAAGTTAAATATAACTTAATCGAGATGCACTAATAAATAGATTATTATTTACCACCAGAAAATGACTTAGGAAGTAGTAATAAATTTCCCACCATATAGGAGGGTCAAAGATAACAGTCGCTAAGGATAAAAGCCCAGAGGCCGGATTTTTGAAAATTTCGTCATACCCAGGAGTCGGGGAGAGGTAATTTTGAAAAATTAGTCGGATTTACTCAATTAAAAATATTAATTAATTTTTAAGCGACGAAATTTTCAAGACTTTACCGTACTAAATGGTGTCATTAAATCGCCCTTGAAATGGTGATCTAAAGAGAACTGATTTTCTAGTTTTTACCCCAAAATCGCAAATATGACGTCACCCGTGAAATTACATGTATAAATGTTAAAAAATTTAGTCACTGAACACTGAAGATTTATTTATTACCCAAAAGAATGCATGTAAGGCAGTAAATAAGGAGTTTTGGGCGAAGGGTTAAATGTCCTTAATTATCCCTTTTGTATTTTTCTGTTTAACAGTTTGCCAGTACATTGTTGCAACAAGTTATTATCAATATTATTTGAACTCATTATTATTTTAATAATCATTGGTGTAGGCACCACACTTACCAGTCGAACAAAGTTCAAGCAGTACTTTGTCATGAAAAAATCTTTTTTATTTTTTCGTTACAGATAAACAATGAACGAGCAAGTTATTATCACCACGTATTTCCAGCTTGGGCTCAGCTACAAGGAAATTTTGTATGCGCTTGCTCTTAATCACCGTATCGTCTTAAGTCTCAGGACACTGAAGAGACGGTTGCGCCAACAATGTCTGTTCCGACGCAAACACTTTACAGTCATTTTGGAGGTTGCAGATTTTATTATTGATCAGATCAATGAAAGTGGAAATATGCATGGATACAGATGGATGCATTTGAAGTGTTTGCAAGCAGGCAAGACAGTCCAGCGAGACACAGTGTATTTAATAATGAAGATCATACTGGTTGTGCTCATAATTCACGCGACAATCCGTATGCGTATACTCCATGTACGTATTAACTCTGTACTCACGCCCCCTGAGAGACAATGGGTTGTTTTGATAAACTACAAAAGCCTGTGCGGGTAGCAAACAATAGCGACGTGGACTCATACAGGGCCTAAGCGCACAGGGGGAGGAGCACATATGTAAATTATTGTACGGGCGACCCTTGGAGACGGGAGTTCGTCCTCGCCAAGCGCGACGGGAAGTAAATTGATGCGCGCTATAATCCGACTTAATTAACAGCTTTCAGCTTGGCAGTATTGCACCTTGCGCTAGGCTGAATGTCGACCTGCCGTCTCGTTGTTTTGTTTGCTTCTTACAATCAGGGGGATGGGCCTCTGCTATTTAATACATTTGAAGGATTTTTTTTTTGTAGATTTGGTGAATTTCTCGAGCGATCAGTCTGTGGCCCATACCAATTAACTCTTCCTATGTTGGCAGAAGTCTCCCTAATTTTGGACGTTTCTACCGATCTCCCTTTTGTCTCGATACATCACACTTTTCTCTTTGTCCTTACGTTTGGAAACTTCTCAGGTTAAGTGATAGGGGTATAGATAGCACTAAACAATAAAAAGAAAATACCAACGACAAAGCCGTGCCAGGTCTTCGTGTGAGTAACATCCAAAACACTGTACATGCATGTATGTTGTTTTCGTGGAGACGAAGCTGGTTTCGAAAGGAACCTAAATAGCGATAATTAAAACCACAGCTGGCTAAGCTACCTGGACATTGTAGTAAGTGACAGATACAATATAAGGCGCCGAGCCGAACTTGAAATATAACGAGCGTATTGTCGAGCCACAGGTTGAGTAATTTTCGGGTACAGCTCGGTGGCGAGTGTTGCATCTAGCTTAAACCACAGCCTCTCATCGGTTAGTACAATGTCCTCGCGATATATTACTGAATGCCAGCTGAGCGGTGGAAAATTAATTCCATGCAAAAATTCTTGTTGGGCATTAGAAAAAATTATCAAAAATGACTTAGTGTGTCAATTTGCCTAACGGCAAGGGCTTAAGTGTTTGTGCAAGATCGGTCACATAACTGCATTCGCTTACTGCAACTCCTTGAATTATGAAATAGATTAATTAAAAGAAGATCTTTAACTGATACGTGTGCAAATGCTGTGGAGGAGAGTTCGCCCAAACAAATCATTAAGGGTAAATGGCATTTGATTAGCCTTTGTTGTGAACACAATAACATCATGTATGAAGTAAGTCCAAATTAACATAGTTTTAATTTTTTCAATTTAATTCGTGCATTATAACAAGAATAGTTATCAATGTTGTTTTCATGTGTACATGTACGTCCTAGGGATCGATGGTGGAAGTAAAAAGACTGTCATACTTTTTTTGATAACCCGCTTGTCGGCGGTGGAAATTACAATACAACGCTTTGTTTGCTGGTTAATGATCGCATTAAGGGGTGGCCGATTTCGCACCTTTTACATTTCATTCAATGGCAGTTACAACTGGTAGTCGCCCCTTTGTTTCGTTGTCCAGTGTTACCTAATGACTGGGTTGTAAGTGACCTTGATATTAAAAACTATTCCATTCTTTGACTAGGTCTACTAGTATACATCCCAAGAGCGTTCTCAGGCAGCAATTGTTAATCATTAAACAATAGCGATAAAGCATCGGTTTCGGCAAATTTCAATCTTTGGGGCCATCAACAGTGCCTAAATATTCAAGAGACACCAGTAAACTAAAGTACTTTTTCGTTGGCAGTGTCAGGGTGAACAAGAAGTTATAACTTCTTGGGGTGAATCAAAATTTTCTCAATAAGGTGCTGGTAGGCTAATGAAAGACTAGGAAATAATCGTTAATTGCATCGAGAATTTAATCCTGTGCAACCTTCTACAAAATGAATATTTTACACTACTGCATGGGTCGTTATTCATAAAGAATGTTTTAACGTTTTATAAGGTTTTTGACAGATAAATAA